TCTGGGAGTTGAAGTCCACTCATCTTAAAGTGGCCAAGTTTGGACAACACTGACTTAGGGTGTAGTTCTATTTCTTGGTGATGTAACTTTAACTCCTAATGCCACAATGGATTGCAAACAAATCATTAGGTGGGAATGGGGAGGGAGAGACAGTTGTGTGTTTTTTGAAATTGCTGGGTCTGGTGTAGTGACCTCTGGTCTTTTTAATTTAAGGTGCAGTTTTTGAAATGCCAGAGAAAAGTACTTCCTGTTTTTATATTTTTGAGGAATCCTGTATTAACTATTTTGTTTTTTTATTCAGGTATTCGATTAGAGGCATCAGGAACCTTATTTTTTATGAACTGCCAACCTATCCACATTTCTATAGTGAGGTCTGCAATATGGTAAAATTAGCAGGCATGGAGGAAGAGGCCACCTTGACTTGTACTGCATTTTACTCCAAATACGATGCCCAGAAGTTGGCTGCTGTGGTGGGTGTTGAGCGGGCAGCCCAGATGCTTCAGTCTTCCAAAAATGTGCATCTTTTTGTCACCGGAGGAACAGAGTAAAATAAACAATGAACCCAATTCAAGTGGATTCCTGAACTATTTAATTTAATTAAATAGAATGCAGTATTTTAGAACAGCTGTTAAGAAAGGAAATTATGAACAAGATTCCTTTCTTTTTAAAGGGCATATAAAAATGTTATTAAAAAGTGTGAATTTCTTCTTAATGTTGTAGTAATAATGCCAATTCAAAATATCACCTTTAGAATTTCAATTGTGTAGGATAATTAGGCATGTTTTCTCTAATGCTAAGTCTTATTTCTATCTTTATTTGCACCTGCGGCTAGCAAAGCATGAGTTATTTTTGAGTATCTAAAAACTATCAGCCTGATTTCCCTGTGGATGAAGCTTCTTGAATTGCATCCAGAAAGTAGCTGGTAACTGGGGCACCTCCCAAAGAAGACAAGCTGCGTGGGGATCCCTGGTAGCACCTGTCCCTACTCAGGCCACTGTGTTTCCATTATCCGTTGGATGTCAGCAACGAGATAGTGGGCGTCCCTGCCTCTTCGGAGTGTAGTTTGTACATTTGGCAATTCTCATTCCATGTATTCTTTAAGTTTGGATTACCAAATCTTGAGCATTATCTTTCTAGCATGTGAGATTAGTGCAATTGTTTGGAAATCTGAGCTCCTTTAGCATGGCATTTTCTTTCATACTTGAATATGCATTGATCTTTTCCAGCCACTTGGTCACTGCTGTATTTTCCTGTTACCAAACCACTGGTAACTCTTTAACTGCATTATCTTGCAAGGCTTTAATTGGTTAGCTGGCATTTCATCAACTCCTGCAGCTTTGTTGTTGCAATATTTTCTAGGACCCATTTTGCTTACCAGAATGCCTGACTCTGTTCCAGTGAGCAAACCTGTATAAGTGTCATTCATTTGGGGGATTTTGGGGGGAGGATATTTTTGGGGGGGGGGGTTTGGTAGAAGTAGTCCTAGGGTTATGTCCATTTGCTCAGCAACTGTTTGAAGTTACAGTGGTGTTGGGACTTATGACTGGTCCTCAAAATTGGCTGTTGCAGTGCCTCCACGGTCACGTGATGAAATTACGACTGCCCCCCCCACGGCACTCGCCCACACTCCGTAGCGCCCGCCCACAGTACTCCCCCCTCCCATAGCTCTCACCTGTAGCTCTTGCCCTCCAGCCTGCTTACCTGGGACTCCTGCCTCTTCCCGCTTAACAAGCTGCACAGTCCTGGGGTTATGAGAGCAACCGGGACTGCTGGGATTGCTGTTGCTAAGCAATGCAGTCACGTGATGTTGTGCTTTACAACCACATCACTTAGTGACAGAAATTCTGGTCCCAATTGCCATTGTAACCTGAGGACTTCCTGTATAGTTATTCCATGTATTTGTGCCATCTCTTCTTTATATATTTGTTCTTCATTAAATCTTTGCTTTCTTTGCCTTTTTTTCTGCCCATCCTTGATTTCTATAATTTTCTATATCTATATATAGATAAATATATAGATAAATATATATATCTATATATTTATCTATAATAAATAACTTGTCCGTCCCATTTGATTGTGATCTCCAATTTTTTTGCATTGCTTCTTTAAATATAAATCCTTGTCTCTTTTTGCTGTTCTCTGGAAATCAGCATTAAGTTGAACAAATTTTCCTCTCTTGCTTTTTTGCTTTCTGCCTTTCTTCAGTTATTTTCAGCATGTCAGCAGATAGACATTTTATCTTCTTTTGCTTTTTGCATTTGGGGATATTTTTATTTGATTCATGTGTCATGGCATCACAAATTTCACTCCAAATGTCTTTATCAAATCTAAACCATTAAATCTATTCTTTATCTTTACTGCATAATCACAAGGAATATTGCTGAGATCCAAAAAATCAGCAGGAAATTATCATTCCCCCTTAAACTACAAGGGGTATTGTGATATTGGAAGAAATGCACAGGAGGGAAACCAAGTATCTCTAAAGTTTTCAAATCTAATTAGCATCATTAATTTTAACAGTAACATGAGAACAGGGAGAAGTCTATCAGCTTGAGACATATTAATGCATATCATTCAAATCTGAGTGAACATTGTGCTTCCTAGTTGAGGTTTTGGGGTCACCTAATATGACGATAAATGATCTCTTATGTTCTCCACATGAAAAAAACTATCAAAATCCATAGAATACCTTTATCAGGCCACCTGAAGTGACATAAAATTACTGCAAGGATTCCATTTTCAAGAATTCTTCCTTGAGTGATGCTGGAGGCAGATCTGTAGTAAGTCATACAGTTAGATGGGGCGATAGGGAGTCTTCCATACTATTAGGTGCACTGCAATGTGTTGTGATGAATCATCTATGGAAAGAAAAAATGTATATTAGAAACATAAATTCCAGCTGTTAAACCTTTCCATCCCATTGAGTTATGGAATGTTTTGCAAAAATGAAGTATTGAATGTTGAAATGCAGTATAAGCAATATACACTGGAAGTAAAACACTTGTGAGAATAAATACCGTGAAATATAATGTAGTGAATGGCTCAGGAGTGATCAAGGAGTAAGCCAAAGGTTTGTGATGTCCCTTTGTTCATTTAAGGTATTTATGGATAAATATATATGGGATGCTTGAAATGATGATAGTGGTATGTAGGTTGAGCTGTGAATGTGCCTGTATTTTTGTATGCAGATGATGCCATCTGTTGGCTGAGCAACTAAATTATCTCCAGCGAATGTTAGACTATGATGCAACAAGGTGTGTGGATTTGAACATTAATATATCCAAGACCAATAATTACTGTATGTTTGGCAATGGAAATGGAGTGAATGATTGCAGGTTATATGTAAATAGTGAAAACCCAGAGCAAGTGGATGGAGTTATTTATATACCTTGGTAGAACGTTGATTAAAGTTGAGAAAATAGCTGGAGGCATTTTAAGAGGGTGCAGTTGCTGAGAGAAAGTAGCGGGTAGCATGTGGTCTGTTATGAGGAACGAACGTTTCTCAAAAGAAGTACAAATGGCTAAGTATAAGTGCTATTACCGACTTTGTTAAATGGAAGTAAGAGTTGGATATGTCAGGAAAAACGAAGTAAGTTGGATGCAGCAGGGATACGCTACTTAAGAAACGTGTGTGGTAAACAGTAAGAAATTGAATTAAGACAGAATGGATGCTGAATGTATGTGAATTAAATACAAAAGTGAGTGTTAGTAGAAAAGGAGTACATTGAACGAGGATCAAATTGCATAACAAATATATGAAGAAAGAGTGAATGGTCAAGAGGAAGGGGAAGACCAAGGAAGTTGTGATTGGATGAAGATTCGCTTTATCCTCAAAAAGAGAAATGAGAAATGAAAAGGCAATATATAAAATCATATATAGAAATTAAATATAGAATATAGAATATATATAATTATAATAGAAATTAAATTAAAAGGCAATATATAAAGTAGTGCATGCATGGGCACCCACAGGGC